ATAATTTTTCCATATCAGCGTATCAAATGACCTAGGTGAAGCTTTAGACGGATTCGCAATGTTGACCTCTTATCGTGCATCGTATACCTTAGATATTACTATAGTGACATATTTTGAAAGAAGTCATGAGCGACGCCTTGCGACAGATTCTTTGTGAAATCACTTTGCAGAAGTTATGACGTTATTGTATATAAGCTGCGCAAAGTAGCTGGAAGAATCAAAAGAGTGCAATTTACTGCTCGGAGGGGGACTTATAAGTGAAGCAGATAAAAATTTTAGGCGGGCTGAAATTTTGTGGCAGAGATTTTCTGTAATTTCCACATATTCTGTCCTAGAAGACTTACCCTTTTCGCCCCAGTCCGTATTCCAAGAGTTAGCAGCAATCCAATAATCAGTTCCATTCTCAACACCCCATCCAAGAATTTTGACTGATTGACTACCAATAATCGTATCAGCACTGTGCTAAATCTCTCAAATTAGTGGTCATGAAGTAACTGAACAAGCAACGTTTTTCGGCTTTAGATGAACCAGCTTTCGCAGGTTATAGGTATAAGAACATATGCTCACTTAAGTTATCCTACCCGATAGATTCCATGCTTGTAATATTTGAAATCCTCATAAATTTCCAGTGTGGCTTCGACAGGTCCATTTCTCATAATATCCTTCCTGATTGTTTTTTCGTTAGCTTTCAGTGAATACATGTAGTCTACTGAAAAGGTTGTCATTCACAGAACATAAAGGAAAGACATTTTACCATAATTTTAGAGGAAAAAACGGTGTAAACCAAACCGTATACTCTGTCCTTCTTGTACGGAATAGGATAATCAAGTTGACACATCCATCTACATTTTGGTCTCTGCCAGACATATTCAGGACATTCCGCGTAATACTTTTGACCTTCATGCCTACCGCATGGATAGAAGGGATAAGGCTTGCACACATGCTTAAACAAACAAACATAAAAACGCAAACGGTACGCAAAGTTGTTGATGAAGAATAAGTTATTTTAATCTCTAGAAGTGTTATGAAAGTACAAACAATGATCCTTATACGGTTTTTCATGGAACTATTTGACTTAGCGTTGATGTTTCGATTTCTTCCTCTTTATGTTTGGCCCACCTAGGACAATATAACTTTTCAAGCCATTACCTTTTCTCTGTATC